CAAATACTAAGAAGGATTATTCGTGGTATAACAATATCAAAAAGCATTATGATTGGTATAACAGTGTCAAGAAGCATTATGATTGATATAACAATATCAAGAAGCATTATGACTGGTGTAACAGTATCAAGAAGCACTATGCTTCATATAGCAGTGTCGAATACTTGTGCCTGGTGACACAATATCAAGAAACATTATGCCTGATATAACAGTAAGAAGAAGCATCTTGACTGATATAATAGTATGAAGAAGCGATATGCCCAGTGTAATAATATCAAGACATATGACTGGTATAACAATTCTAAGATGCATTATGCCTGATATAACAGTATCAAGAGCATTAAGACTTATAATTTGCATTACATCATCAGACAGTTTACGACATATAACAAGGTTTTAGAAGATTGTAAACAGTTCGATACAGGTTGTTCTACTCTCTCTTTTTAAACAGCTGCAAACGCCAGGATGTTTCAACCCAAATATCATAAACTGTTGTGTATGACACTTCTCTCTAATTGCTATATCAAATACTGATGTCTGTGACCCTTTTCACTAATTGCTATATCAAACACACTGAAATATGTCAAGGATGAAAGTAATTAACCATTTTACGAAACAAATGATGTTGAAATATATAAACTCTTGCTTATAATTCTTCATTATGTTAACATAGCAGTGTGAATTTTTCTAAACTTTACATGTAGTGAAGCTATTAAACTGTGTCTTCTCTACATTCATCGATTCCATTCGAAAAGTCAACCTCTCTAAAGCTTTTTGTGTAAACACTTTCTCTGGACTGTTTAAGTGATTTTAATTGAAATATAAGAATTACCATTCGAAGTCTCCATTATTCAACCCTGTACACTTTAAGGTTCTCTCCAATTAAATTATAATTTAATTGTTTTTGTTGAGTATTCATGTGATTATTCTATACCGGGAAATTGTAATATCGATGTAAATTAAACTATCACGCATAGAAATTTAAGGAAATGCCCTTTTTTATGCACATATTTTATTATGTAGATTTTATGATAAAAATATAATTCAAAAATGTTAATTTTGAATCGGTATCAGACAGCCGGGTATGTGATACTTATTAATTGATATAGTGTATATGCAGTTCTTTCCTCATTTACAACGTGAGATATATCCTTCTTCTGCTTCCTATATACAGTTTAATGAATGTATCAAGTACATGTAGTAAAATTATAGTTCCACAATCATACAAAATACATATAAAGCTTTGGAAGATGTAGGAATATGGATATATATATATCTATAAATTACATATTTAATAATATTTAAGCAGAATACATTCTAATGATCTGCTTATGCTTAATGGAAAACATCAAACTCCATACAGTTCTTTCTCTAAGCGCAATATTTTACAAGAAATGTGATCTTAAAATTAATTGTATTAGCAGATAAATTTCAAAATAAAGTGAAACAGAAACTCTCTAAGCTCTTTAAAAATGAAATACATTTAGTATTCCATTTGTATGTTTCTTTTATTATAACTCAAATCATCTGAAAAGTTGTGTTTGCAACAAATGAACCTCAATTATTTGTGTGCACGTGCTCGGTTTGGTTCCAGAGATTCTGCCATTAAAGGTTTTCCATTACGAGAACACGAAACTTACGTCCAATGATATTGGATAACTGGTAGGATACGTGATTAGAAGACCTTCCTGGTTAAGGAAGAGGAGGCTACGAGACATGCTCAGAGTCTCGTCATTTTTTTTTTCATCTGAAACCAAAAGGCAGTAAATTGCTGTCAGTATGTTATAAACAAACAATATACTTGGGTCTGGAAGTCTTCTTGTTAGGTCATAGTAACTGGAAATGCTTGAAGAGTCACGTCAGTTATTAAAAATTGTGTACAAAAGTTTCCCACATTATTTTGACCTCTGACATATTTTCCACCCATTTTTTTATTTAAAATAAAGCTTATTGAATGCGTGAGCTTGGTTTGAAATTTGTCATAAAAACGTTTCAGGATTTTCAATTTCATCTTTAATTTATTGTAAAATTAAATCTTGGCTAATAAAGACTTCACTATTTTAAGATGGGGGGCCCAGAATCCCATTTAGTCTTAGCTTTATCTTTTTCCGAGAATTCTTAGCATCCCTGGTCAGTGTGTCGCTCTTACAAATCTACAGCTAAATTTCTTTCCAACACAATTGGCATAACTCAAAAGTTCGTCCTAAGAAACATAAAAAATAGAATATTAAATACGAAATTGTAGCTTAACATATTCGATCAATGTTACAAATGCTCGAGTACCACTGAATCTCTCTGTCTTAACTCCTTTAGAAGAGAGTCAGCGTAATAAACAATACACTTGTCTAGCAATAGTGAAGCTAAATACGAATTTGTAGCTTAACTTATTCGATCAATGTTACAAATGCTCGAGTACCACTGAATCTCTCTGTCTTAACTCCTTTAGAAGAGAGTCAGCGTTGTAAACAATACACTTGTCTAGCAATAGTGAAGCTAAATACGAATTTGTAGCTTAACCTATTCGATCAATGTTACAAATTCTCGAGTACCACTGAATCTCTCTGTCTTCACTTCTTTAGAAGAGAGTCAGCGTTGTAAACAATACACTTGTCTAGCAATAGTGAAGCTAAATACGAATTTGTAGCTTAACCTATTCGATCAATGTTACAAATGCTCGAGTACCACTGAATCTCTCTGTCTTCACTTCTTTAGAAAAGAGTCAGCGTTGTAAACAATACACTTGTCTAGCAATAGTGAAGCTAAACCCTAAGGCTAGATTTAAAAGTGCACATCGTATAATTAAGAGCAAACAACATATTTCTTTTTCAATATCAGCACATCCTTCGGAGATATTTTCGTTCTGCAGGGCCATTCCTACTTTAATTATCGTTACATGTTTACCATGATATTTGTTTCCTATCACACATGTCTATCCATAGAAACAGATAAACATTAATATACACTTTATACATGAAATCACTGACGTATAAACAGTCTAACATTCCAAGAGGGGTTGTAATGCACGACACGGATCATGTCTGTTGTTGTAACAAAGCATAAATTGCCAAGGTATAAGTCAAAAAAATCTTCAAGAACATGTAGTTGTTTAATTTATTTAATTAACATTCATATAATAACAATCCAACATGATATGGATCATTTTGTAAATTAATAAACTAATAAATAGCGAACACAGAGTAGGATGGCTTTATAGTGTTACTTTTTGTTTCTTTTATATGTAATAAATACTCTTATGAACCTTGTATGAACCTAACTTTAGTATCGCTGATGAAGTATAATGTCATAATCACAGCACTATGGCAAGTTCAGATGTTAATCGTTCATAATAAGAAACTCTGAAAAAGACCATTTTTCTTCGGAGGGAGGGGAGGGATTCTGTAACCAGTAGCAAGTTTAAAGCATGAAAATTATTGAAGTGAGCTTCATTGACGTCATGAGTATCGACATCAACTGACCATGACAAAATGGAAATACTTATATTAGTTTTCACTCAGAATGTTGCACACGTAACTGCTTTCAGGCGTGCTAAAAGACTGAAATAAGGGAAGTGTTAAAACATATATATACGTAAAATCATAAGTGATATTCAACGTTAAACTGGTACACAGTTAAAAATATTTTATTTAGGCTTATCTATGGCCTTCAAAAATTGACGACTCCACATGTTTCGACGTTACAGCGTCATCCTCAGGAGTTGTAACGTCGAAACATG